GGCTTAAAAGAATGATCCTCTGGAGAACAAAAAAATCCCCAAATAAACTCGAAAGAAACAAACCTAAGAAATACTTTCCATTTAATGCTAACAATATCAAGTGAGGTTAATTTAATTTACTTACATTTGTTTTCACTTTCTGGTTCTCAGGCAACAATGCAAACGCTACAAAGTTTGGAATTATGACTGTAAGTCCCGTGTTTCCCTACTCTCTACAAAACTGAGCCTATTATCCCATAAGAGCCATATAAATGCTATCTCTTTTAAAGGTCACTGGTAAGTGCTCTCAGAAACAAAAAACCTCTGGCTAATAGAGTCCATAAGGAAAACCCCCTACAACAAACTTGCATTCCTTCAGAATTTCTGATCAAAAATTGCACCCTATTGGTGAAGAGCTGCGGGGCTTAGCTACGTGATAGAAGTTATCTTTCCTGAAAGTAACAATTAGCGGAGGTAACACTTCATTCTGATTCTCCTCTTGGTCTAACGCTGCACTGCCACAAGACTGTGCAGTTCAGAAGATTTATTCCTAAAATGAGTGGGTGCAAAAAAAAGCATCTGCCTTCCATATGGAATTTCTTCATCCTTAATCATCCAACCATCTAAAAGCTAGGATGAACAATGTTTTATTTACTGTTCTGCTTCGGAATGTCACACTGACTCCTCATCCTTCAGCAGTCACAAGAGAATGTCCTGTTGTCAAATCTGATACATTCACAGTTACTTTTAGAACATTTTGTCTGTTTCTTCCACTACTTAAAAATCTAATTTTGAAGCATCATGAAGCTTGACAAAAGCAGGTCTCTCTGATACTCTGTGTATTTCCAAAGACAGCAACATATTCTTTTAAAGCTCAAAAATTATCTCCAGTTCTTCTGAAATGTTTCTAAAAAGGGCCTTGATGACTTTCCTGAAGGCTCTGGAATCCAGCTGGCCAATTTGTCTAGCTGACTAGCTCCAGTTGTTAATTTAGGGGAAAGGAAGACAAAAGGCCAGTTCATGTAGACAGAACTGTGAGGCTGGTGCCTGTCCAACTCCTTTTTGTGGCTTTTTTGTTGAAAGTGACCCTTGAAAACCCCTTTCACATTTGAATTTTAAAAATACATCTGTTAAAAAAGAAATCACAGAAATATTTTACATTGGGGTGGAAAAGGGAAAGGAACACTTTAAAGTCTAACTTGGTTCTATGTCTGTGCTTTTTCAGCTGTGGAATAAATGGAAATAAGAGATTTCCTCAAGGAAGGAAAAGCTATAAATCTAAGGCAAATGATCATTTGCCTCAAAAGAGTCCTCTGTTATTTTCCTGTTATGTCTCTGGAGTCTTCCCAGGAGTAGAAAAATCATTCACTGTTGTAATCTGAATTCTATTTTCAAAGCAATTTAGCTATTTTCACATCTAATTTTTATATGTCTGCACTGACAGGTCAGTAAAAGTGCTTATAGGCATTCTGTATATGAAATGCGAATAAGTTATCACATAGAAACCCATAAAGACCGCTTACCATCTCTTGTGGAGTTTGTTTTTGTGATCAAGGTGAACTAGAAAAGGAAACAGTAGCTTTTTAATTCATAAAAACATACGTATTAAGACAGTCATAAGCACTGAATATATTTTTGTTAAACTTGACTACTACGGCTCACAGCTATGACATAACCCTTCTCCATTGTGGCTAATTGCAGTCTCTTATTTATAGTTTTTGATTAGCATCAGTAAAAAACCCATTCCTTAAAATTGTCCACTACAGTAACAATGTTAAAAAGAAGCATTCTACACAATGCGGCCTAAAATGCTGGGACTGAACTTTTTTTTTCCCCATTACCCTTTTCTATTTTCTCCCACACTTTATGCTTCTATGGCCTTTTCCCAAATTAATGCCAGACAAAAAATCATAAACTTAGATGAAAACACACTGTTCTCATGTTTTAGTGGTGTCTGAACATGGACATTTGTAGAAGCAGCAATTACCATAAAACCATTAAACTCACCTCGACACCATTCAAGCGGTAAGGTTTCTGTTTAAACCTACGGTGCACTTATAACCACGTGCAATCCCTTCTTTCACTTTATTTCTCTTTGTCTCAGACATCTAATTCTGCCTCCCATAAAGCACAAGCCAGTTCAGGTTGCAATCACATTATTTTGAACGTGAGGAAAAGGTTAGAGGAAGAGGGGCAACTGGAGAGGGAAGGAAAAAAAAACCAACCCACCAGGCAGGATTTATAATTACCATCACTTTCAGTGCGATTTACCAGCACGAATCACTGAGAAGTACTCTGAATTCCCTCCCTACCTGACAATTATTTTATTGCATTAAGATGTTAGCCGCTTCATCCACATATTTCTCCCGATGCTCTCACCCTCAACTTGAACTTTACATCAGGTGAGTGTCAGTGAAAGGTAACAGGAACTCAGTACAGTACCACTGCTACCCCTAAGACATGGCCAAATGCTATTCCCAGCAACGCTGGAATACAGCCAAGACAGCACTTAGAACTGCTGGAGATTTATACCAGCATAAAACTAGGATTTTTCAAAATGAGTATGAATACAGTACATACACCAGTCGTGTGCAGCCTCATATTTAACAATACTGGTTAAACAGTGACTTCTTGCCTCTTAAGACAAGCCATATTGCTTGAAAGGAGAATGGGGATGGGCCTCATTCAAAGAAAATGCAAATCACACGGCTACCGCAGAGGCAAACTACTGTCCTTTGCAAAGCCCCCACCAAGGCCAAACCCACAAACCCCTGGTCACACCAACCTGCCCACACGCAGCCCGGCATACACACGCAGTCCCGCGGCAATCAACGGGACGACTCATGCGAGCAAAAGATTGCAAGATCCGGCATTAGGCAACCAACGTGTGCGAGTCCACTGTATTCTCTCCTGCCTGCTTGGAGGCAGGAAACCCAGGGATGTCACTGTCAAACACTGCGGTGACCTGTAACACTGGAAACTCACACATACATAAAAGGCTGCTGGGCTGTCCCTCTCTGTGCATTTCAAACACCTCACTGCCAACGCTAGTCCTCTTCAAAACTTTTACCTCCACTCCACTCTCATGATGTACACATGTACTTTTTGTCCCTTTCCCATACACATCTGCTATATGGTCTTTTTCTCGTACTTAAAAACCTAAGTCCACATTAGCAGATTCTTCCATTTTCCACTTCAGAAAAGGTATGTGTATTTCACGGTCACTTTAATTCCTACATCACAAAAGATTCTCTGAACTAGCCTCCAGCACAAACAGAAATCAGGTGTCTGATACTTCATTAGTAATCCACAACATGTAGATAAGCTCTCTGAAGGGGAAGGAGGGAAAAAATGCTGGCAAAACTATCCAACTATATTAGTTTACCAAATATGAAAAACCTGTTTTGTCAAACACAGAAACTTTAATAATTTTCATTAATTACTTACGAAACGTTAGACCACAAACATAAAGCAGAGCATGAACGATGTTGCAATCCAGGACACTAAAGAACGCATAAATTTTTTGCTTCTTGACACTTTCATATTTTATGTAGTTTGTTTTGGAAGAGTAATTCAGCTGAAAATAAATGTGATAACTCTACTTCCATAGTTTATACTTTAAAAAATACAACATGGAAGCAACTGAACATACAAAACTCGCCAGCAAACGTGGAAGGGCCTGTAGTGACAGGACAAGGGGTAACAGGTTTAAACTGAAAGCGGGGAGGTATAGATTGGCTATCAGGAAGAAATTCTTCACGGAGAGGGTGGTGAAGCACTGGAACAGGTTGCCCAGAGAAGCTGTGGATGCCCCATCCCTGGAAGTGTTCAAGGCCAGGCTGGATGAGGCTTTGAGCAACCTGGTCTAGTGCAAGGTGTCCCTGCCCATGGCAGGGGGGTTGGAACTAAATGGTCTTTAAGGTCCCTTTCAACCCAAGCCATTCCATGAGTCTATGATTCTATGAATTTAAAATGAGGAAGAGATTTATTTGCCTATGCTAACCATTAATGATGAAAAAGTTATTTTTTGATAAATGTTATGACCTCCTTCTCTCAGTTTTAAAGTATTTCCTTACAGATGATGTGGATGTACTCCCTTTCAGCAAAACATACTTGTCTCCTAACCAACCTGAGGCAAATAAGCATTTGTGAAAATAAGTACATCTGATCAAAGCAATGACAGCATTTAATTCCACTGGACTCAAAAGAAGTTGAGACAATGTCTGTCATATTACAAGACACAACCAGGAAATACTGGGGTTTTTTATAACTTGGCAATGTATTTCCTACTCTGAGAGCAAAGCCCTCTCCTGGTATGTGGGATACAGTGCTGCCACATGGCTGCCATACTGGAGGTGACAAGTACAGCTCAGAAAGACCAACCCACATGGGATCAAGGATGGACCGACTTTATTCAGAATATGGATGAGCATATGATTCATTAACCTGTTGCATGGTATTAAGATAAACATATAATATCTTATTAAAGGAAGGTGAAATTTCCATAAACTAGCCTGTGACAAGTGCCTTCTTTAGTCAGACCAGAGATGCCTCTAACTCACTATCCAGTTTCTGGCAATGACTTCAGTAAGAGATGCTCAGTAGGATGTAACACTAGAGTATGCATGCAGGGATTACTTTCCCAGGCACATCTTTTCTGATTTCAGCAAATGGCAGTTCAGATACTTCTTTTCAGCTACAAACTGGCTTTGGCATTTAAAGTCAGAACGTGTCACTTCTCTGAATCCATGAATACTAAGTGTTTCCACCACATCCCACGACAGTTAAGTTTCACAATTTAAGGTGTTAAACATCAATATGCGCTGTATACTTTGAACTCACCCTACTACATACTCTTTAAAAATGCTTAAAGAATTCAGTAAGAAAAGCACGTAACAACATCAACAGTGTGCATTTTCCCACAAACACCTCTCTCATCTTTTTCTTCTAATTCTTACCCTTGGTGCAGAATTACCATCAGAAGAAGGAAATGTCTGAAAAGTGCTTTGACACTCTGTGCTTCAGATTAATACTGTGCATTGCTGGTGTTACAACCTTTAATACTGAAACAGTAGGAGTATTTCCCCTTAAAAAGAAAAAAAGATAAAAATTCCTAGCACTATACACTGCATTCTTGTTTATGAATGGCTGAAAATACAAGACCTGTCTGGCACTTTGCACACAGTTATGGCTGGTCATCATGCCAACAGGAGAGTCAGCTGAGCTATGCAGACCTACCTATCACTATGATGTCTTCACACCAATGCTCATACACCAGTAATAGTAATTCCTGCAGAAGGAAGAAAAACAAATGACATGTAAGACAAAATTATGATTATTCTAATTATTCTATATTCTATTCAAAATTATTCTATGATTATGTTCATTGCAGGGACAATCCACATTCAACCACTAGACCTGCGAACAAAGCGTGCAGATGAGACTTCAGCGTATGCATTATGGCTCTTTTGGCCCCAGCAGAGCCTGAAACAGTGCAATCCTCTGCTGCTCCCCAAAAGAGGATCTGTCTTTTCCGAGCTCCAGGACACAAGCCTGAAAGTTATTCAGGCCAAAAGCGAAGTGCTGCCATTATCAGTAGCTCCGGTCAGCTTATATTTCATACATAACTTGGCAGTTTAGTCACAAACGAGGAGGAGACTTGCACACTATTACTTGTAAAGGCCACATTCACGTCCCGGCCTCACAGACACCGTGCCCACGCGGCCGCCTGAGACTCGGAAGCACCTCCCCGATCACAAACCCGACGAGCAGCTCTCCTCTCTGACCAACAGGGCAAACAATCACACCTAAGGGCTGGCAGGAAAACAAGCCCTTAGGCCCAAGCTCACCCCCGCCCCAGCACAC